GCCGGCGGCCGCCCTGCCACCGAGGCACCCGGGCAGCCTGCTCGTGCTGGAAGAAAAGAGGGATTGAGGGGGTGGCGGGCAGGCACGGCTCCCTTGCTTTCTCCTTCTCTCCCTCCTTTCCTCTCCGCATGCTCCTGCAGCTGAGGGACAGATGCAACGTGGTCCTCTGGGATGCGGTGTGCAGCGGGGGGAGCTTGGCAGTGCCGAGGAGTTTCTTCTCCTCCTCCCTCCTGCTCCAGGGCACTCTGCCTGCTGAAATACCAGAGCCGCCCTGCTCTGCACAGGGGCTTCTCCAACCCATGCAGAGCCACTTGGCAGCCCCTTCCCAGGGGGGCCTCTGTGCGGGGCAGGAGCGATGCATGGGGTCCCTCCACCTTTTCTAGTGTCCCCCTTCAACACCCTGGTAACCCCGCAGCCTGTCCTCAGCTGCCCCCCGCTTCATTTGAAGGTTGCTTCTCCTCTCCCCAGTGGGCTTCAAGCCCTAGGTTTGGGGTGGGATCTGAGCTGAGTGTGCCGGCCGTGAGATCCGTGTCACCTCCCGGTGGCCGTGCTCCCGTGCCAGGGGCTGCAGGGCTGATGGGGTCAGCTCCTCAGCCTGAGAGGGAGCAGATTTTGGAGCAAGGGGCTTCACGGTCTGTGGCCATCCATGGACTCAGCCCACTGCTGCTGTGCCAGGCCAGCTCCCCCTTCCCCTGCACCCCAGCAGTCAGATGGGCAGGGGGGCAGCGAGCAGGCACTGCCCACACCGGGGTGTCGATGGCCGTAGGTGTCCAGCTCCTGGCCAAGTGGGCAAGGAGTTGCCAGAGGGGCAAGAGATGTGGGTAGCGGGAGAGGGCTTCCCCGCCGCAGCGGCTTGGGAGCGCTGGCTTTCAAGCTGTGCCACCCGTGTCGCTGGCATGTGCTTCGCGTGGCAGCCGCCCGCCCGCCGAGGCAAGGGGATGGAAATCAGGCTTTAAAAAAAAAAAAAAAAAAAAATCATAATAAATATAGAGATGGACTTACCAAGCTAAGAGCCTCCTTTCCAAAGCCTTGCTGCTCTTCGCTGGGATCTCCCGTGTGTCAAGCAGCATGTGAGTGTGTCTCCCGATTTGCAAAGGCTGGTGCCCGCCCTAGATCCCAGATCAAATATTGTGCTTGCAGGTCACGGGCTCGGCAGGTTTTTTGGGGAGTGACCTCCCAGCAGCAGCCAGTTTGCAGGAGAGACTGAAGAGACCCTAACGCTGCCTGGCGTTATAAATAACCTGCTTTTTCTTTCCTCCCTCTCTCTCTCTCCCTCCCGTCTTTTCTCATAGGAGTGTTGGCACTTTTCAGGCTCTCTCTGTTTAACGAGTTAGTGGAATCGGGGATGTTGTTTTTAAAAGGGCTGTTGTTAGGTCTCCTGCGTTTCTCATCAGGAAGCGATGAAGAGGCCTCTGGCCAGATTAAAAGCGATCTGATTTTGAGGTGCTGAGGGTGTGATTTTTTTTTAGGGAGAAGCAAGAAAGTATCTTTAACTTTTGCAGTACCAGGGGAAGAGACATTAGTGCCGGCTCCAGCTGCAGCCTGGGCTTCTTCCCCAGGAAGCCTCAGTTTGTGCAGTCCTGCTATTAAATATTTAGGATAAACATTTCCATGAACGATAAGGCTGCAGCATCCAAGGAAAAAAAATTGCCTACCAAAGGGCCACTGTGACAGCAGG